AAACGATTTAATATTCAATTGACGTCTGCTGAAAAAGGCATGAAATTACGGATTTCACAAGAAAAAATTGGCGTCCTGCGTTCCCAGGAAGGCTGCGAATACGACAGAAAGAAAGTGTTTGGCCTGAATGGCCAGCCCCCCAACCGTCAGGCATAGGGCTTGATATCCGCTATCTAGTGAATCCGCTGCCAAGAGAACCCATCCCATCTCCGCACTCCAAAAATGAGCGGGGAAGAAGACCGTTTCGTTTTATTTATTTTTAATATTTCTTACATTTTTTACATTGTATATCTTAGCCTATTTGTTACACAGTGCTACAAAATATAATAATAGATAGTGAATAAAATAAATAGATGAGTTTCCAAAATAAATAAATAAATAAATAAATAAATAAAATAAAATAAAATTAAGTTCCGATATTAAAGGTGTAAAACAAAAAGAATTAAATTCGTGTTAATGTTGAATGGTATGAAAAAAGTAAATAAAATAAATTGGATTCGATTCTTTACGTTATGAGTTTATGTCTCCTTAAAATTATGTACATATTTTGCCCTTTGTTGACATAGGATTTAGTTCTCTTGAGTATAAAGCCCAAATCACCAAACCGCTATTTATTTCCGGATTTTAGTTTTAGTCTATGTCTTCGTCTATGTCTTCGTCCTTTATCATTTTTTCTGCCCACTCGTTGGTCCAGTTAGCCAGGTCTGTGTCCGTTAGGTTCAGGTCGTCTGGTAAGTAGTCTATTCCTTTGCTTTGTAATTGTTGCGTCATTTGGGTCCTGGCTGTTTGTCTGTCATGTTCGTTGCAGTCGTATATGATGTGTCTAGTGTCTTCTGTTTCGTCGTCGATGTCGCATGTCCCGTCTGTGTCGCGTAGTCTGAATCTGCGTAAGTATTCGTTCATGTTTCCGTGTCCAGTTAGTAATTGTATAGTTTTCCTTTTTAGTTGTAGGTATTTGTGTCGTACTGTCTTTATGATATTATGTGTGGTTCGTCCTGTGTTTCCGTTGGTCCATGTATCTTGCCATAGAGTCATGGTCATGTCGTGTCTTTTTTTGCGGATGTCTGTTTTGTCTTTGTATTGTATGGTTTGTGTGTAGTTGTTGTGTGCTTCGTTAGCGAGTTTGTGAGCGCGTTTTGCTCCTTCTGTGGTTCTATTTGCGTGGTAGTAGTTTATTTTGATGTTGTTTTCTTTCGCTAATTGTGTTAGTTTTTGTGTTTCGGTTATTAGTTTTTGTCTTGTATTAGATTTGTTTAGTGAGGCTATTGTGTTTGTTGAGTCTGTGTAGATTTGTATGTTTTGGTCGGTGTAGTGTCTGAGGTTGTTTGTAATGTGTTTTACTGCTTGTAGAAGTCCCATAGTTTCTAGTGTGTTAATGTCCTTGGTTGTCTCTACTTTTAGTTTTTTGTCTGTGTGTGTGTAGTTGTGTGTAATCGCTAAGGCTATTGTTTTGCTGTCGTTTTTGATACTAGCGTCCGTGTGTATTGTGGTGTGAGTCGTGTGTCTGTGTTGTTCTATTGGCAAGTGTCTGTGTGCAGGGTGCGGTTTGTCAGTAGTTTTGGTCCTGTTTTGTAGAATGTCGTCGTGATAGGTCGTGTATATGTGGTGGTTCGCTCCTGCGTCTGCTGCCAGTGGAGGTACTCCAGCCAGCACTGGCAGTGTTAAGTTTGGTGTGGTTTTGTATGCTTTTGTGATCCGTAGTAAGAAAGGTCTTTCTGTCGCGTGTAAGTGTCGTGTTATGCGAGTGTCTTTATGTCTATGTCCCCATATCTCTGACCCGTATAATATCATGGGTTTTATCCCGTGTTCGTATATATATCTGAGTATGTCAGGTCTGCGTCCCCAGTTTCGTCCTGTTATTGCGTAGAGTTTGTTTGAGAGTCTGTGGCTTTTTGTCTTGTCCGTTTTGTGTGTTCGATCCATGTCAATTTACTGTCTATTGTTAGTCCGAGATATGTTATTGTGTCGTTTATTTGTAGGTTTTGGCCGTCTTCTGTTAGTCTAGGTGGTCTGGTTGGTTTGTAGGGGATGAACATCGTCTCTGTTTTTGTCGTGTTGTACGTTAGTTTGTTTTGATTTGCCCATTGTTTACATTTTTCCCATGTCCTGTCCCATTTGTTTTCTAATTGTTTAAGTGATGTTCCACCCAGTACTAAAATTTGATCGTCTGCGTAAGCTTGTGTCAGGTCAGTGTCAGTTGTAATTTCGTCCAAGCTGTCGAACCAATCCTCCATTATTAGTAACCAGAGGATTGGCCCTAGGCTTGAGCCTTGAGGGCATCCTCTGTCTATCTTGTCTATAATGTCCTCTGTCTGTATTTGTCTGTCTTGTAAGAAGTTTATGCATGTTTTGGCCAGTTTTGTTGGTACGTGTCGTCTTCGTAGCATGTCTGCAATTTTTGGTGTCCATGCGGTGTTAAATGCGTTTTTTAAGTCCAAAGTTATGACTATGGTGTGTCTTTTGTTTTTTGTGTTTTCTCTGATTTTGTTTGTCACGTTGTGTATGGCGTCTATCGTTGTCCTCCCCTCCCTGAATCCGTATTGTCTGTCATTTAGTCCGTCTGTTGTTTCAAGGTGATGTGTTAGTCTTCGTGCTAGGATTTTGTCAAGTACCTTGCCCATGGCCGGCAGTAGGCATATGGGTCTTTGTCCTCCGTCCTTTTTCTTAAGCCACGTCATGTCTGCTGCCTTCCACGTCTTTGGAAAAATTCCGTTGTCAAGGCAGTTGTTATACATGTCATGCAGTATGTCGTCGTTTATGTCGTTTATTATGTATAGTGTTTCTTTGTTAAGTCCGTCATTTGCTGTTGCTTTGTTTGGTTTCATGTCTGTCAGTGTATTTTTTATCTCTATTTTCGTTATATTTGGTTCCGGTCCGTAGTTTTCGATTGTATTCAGGTTTTGTCTTAGTCTTTGTTGCTCGTGTGTGTCTTCGTTCATGTTGTCTGTGGGGAAGTATTTTCTGTGTAGATATTTGATTGTCTATGTTCTGTCTTTAGTCCATGTGCCGTCTTCTGTCTGTAATGTTGTAAGTATGTTGGGTTGTATTTGTTTGATTTTTATTATTTTGTAAGCTGTCTCCCACGGGTTGTTTGGGTCATTGTTTGTTAAGGTTTGTCTGAGTGATTGTCTTTTGTGGTGTTTTATTTTATTTTTGTAGATGCGTCTTTGTCTTATATATGCGTCATGTTTCATATGTCTTAGTTGTTCGTTCTGTTCCAGTTGAAAGGTTTTTCGTCTTTTGTTTGTTTCTTGTCTTGCTTTGTCAAGGTCTTCTGTCCACCATGTTTGTGTTTGCAAATACGACAGCGCCACGACGCCGCACGCAACGGTCGCAACGGACGCGAGGCACGTACGCAACGCACGCGACGCACGCAACGCACGCGACGCCGCAGAAATAAAACAACACAGATGTAAAAACGATTTAATATTCAATTGACGTCTGCTGAGAAAGGCATGAAATTACGGATTTCACAAGAAAAAATTGGCGTCCTGCGTTCCCAGGAAGGCTGCAAATACGACAGCGCCACGACGCCGCACGCAACGGTCGCAACGGACGCGAGGCACGTACGCAACGCACGCAGCGCACGCAGCGCACGCGACGCACGCACGCAACGCACGCGACGCCGCAGAAATAAAACAACACAGATGTAAAAACGATTTAATATTCAATTGACGTCTGCTGAGAAAGGCATGAAATTACGGATTTCACAAGAAAAAATTGGCGTCCTGCGTTCCCAGGAAGGCTGCGAATACGACAGCGCCACGACGCCGCACGCAACGGTCGCAACGGACGCGAGGCACGTACGCAACGCACGCAGCGCACGCGACGCACGCGACGCACGCACGCAACGCACGCGACGCCGCAGAAATAAAACAACACAGATGTAAAAACGATTTAATATTCAATTGACGTCTGCTGAGAAAGGCATGAAATTACGGATTTCACAAGAAAAAATTGGCGTCCTGCGTTCCCAGGAAGGCTGCGAATACGACAGCGCCACGACGCCGCACGCAACGGTCGCAACGGACGCAACGCACGCAGCGCACGCGACGCACGCAGCGCACGCGACGCACGCAACGCACGCGACGCACGCACGCAACGCACGCGACGCCGCAGAAATAAAACAACACAGATGTAAAAACGATTTAATATTCAATTGACGTCTGCTGAGAAAGGCATGAAATTACGGATTTCACAAGAAAAAATTTTCTACACACTATACAATATACGTAAAAATCATAACAACTACACGACTTATTTTTTGGGGAGTTAAACAGTATGTTTACCCTTCTTCTTAATAACACTGATTTCTAGAGCCAGGAATTAATATTTAACAACGTTGTGAATGAGCAATTAGACTAACAGTGGTGATATTAATGTCTTATTTTTGACTCTCAAAGTTAAAGTCAATTTATTTAAAATTATAAGCTAACATTTTGTTTAGACAACCAGCGCTCTAATATGGGAGTGAATCGAGAAATGAATGTTCGGTAGATGAGTGATGTATTATTCCTCTCTATATTCATCATCACTACCCACATACCCACTCTCGCTATCTTCAGACTCACTTTCTGTATTAGACTCAGTGTTTAAGCAAAACGGACATGTGAAAAATATGAATGAATTAGTGCAGAGACACAACCCACCGTGTATTAGAGCTTCAGCGCTTATTTCAAACGGCGTATAACATTTCACACAACGTAAGAAGCACATTTTGGGTTTTCAATCTGAAAATAAAATAAAACACTTGGTAATTTCCCAAAAAAGATATATTTATTTTCGAATATAGCAACAGATCGTTTCAAAGAGAAATACATTGAAAAATATCAGAAACGTATTATCAAAATTGCATTTTTTATATAATTTGTAAGCAGCTTTGAAATGAAAAGATAATTATCAAATATAGGTTAATTTAGTGCAAACAGAAATATATTGAAAAATATCAGAAACTTATCAACAAAAATAATTTGTAATGTCCTAGACTAAAGATATATTATTTACGAGTCATCATGCGACACGCAAATTGTAACGGCGTTAAGATATCCTTTATTGAGATACATGTGCTTTTTAAACAATTTTTCAGACGCATTAGTTAAACAAAACGATGTTAATCGAATATTTGATCTTCTAGCAAAAACTAACAACTTAGACGCATAGCCCATTCGGCGATATTCAGGTCTTACGTAAATGAAATTTAAAAATATGGGTTGAGGTTCTCGATTAAACGGGTCATGATTCACATCACTCAGAAGCATGAAGGCTATAGGAATTTCTGATTCGTAATATATAAAACAGGATTTTTTATGTACTACTAGCCACGGATTGATAAATAATAAAACAATCATTAAACGGTCTTCTTCTTCTTCTTCTTCTAGGGGAAACCCATTAATCAATTTTGCGCCTCGTCCACCACAAAATATTTTTATATGACTTTTCATTTTATTACGTCTGTAACGAAGAATAAGCACTAGTGATCCAAGTAATAAGAATAAGATACTCGGCAATATCTCAAACATTCAATAGCTAAAAAATAAAATATATGTTTAGTCTAGGATGATAATTTTTTCAACTCTTACAAACATTTTACAAAAATGGGAAGTGAGATTTTACAGCTTAAATAATAAGAGAGACTTGTGTGTTTTACAGGTTACAACTCAAAATTATACTTTAACAATATTTCTAAGTGAATTACAATACTAAAAAATTAGCAATAAAGATTACATTACATTACAGTCTTAACAAACAAACCATTCACAAGTCGTCAGGAGCTCTAAACATTGTTGAACCGTTAGCATATGGTTTATACAGAAATCCTTTTTTTTTAAACAAGTTTTCGGAAATCGTATTTGAACAAAAAGCCGTAAACCGTATATTGATACTTCTAGTAAAATCCAACAATTTAGACGCATAGCCCATTCTTCGATATGGAGGTGATGTGTAAATGAAATTTAGTAATCTAGGTCGACGATGCCCATTAAGTGGGTCATAGTCTAAATCAGATAAAATAATAAAAGCTACAGGAATTTCTGATTCGTAGTAGATGAAGCAGCATTTGCGTTCTTCTACCGCCCACTGCGCGATAAATGCGCCGACCATTAAATCATCATCTTCTATTAAAAATCGAGAAATCTTTCGTAGGCCAGCCTCACCATAAAATATTTTTATATTATCATTCATTTTATTTGATCTGAATCTAACAATGAATACTAACTTTCCAAAGTAAAATAAGATATGTGGAAATATCTTTAATAGCTAAAAATAAAAGGTCTAGTTAATCTAAAGGTTTTATTCTTCGGAGGATTTCACACACAAGAAAAACTTAATTTATAGTTCATGAATTGTAAATTTTCTACACACTATACAATATACGTAAAAATCATAACAACTACACGAGGTTATATTTTTACAATCAATACAGAATAAAAAATTCATTGATTCGTACCAGGTTAAGTCAATCAGAATAGGTTGAGCAAAGTCTAAATGATCTTCAAATAATGAATGAATACTCCACGAAAATAAATCATTTTTGTCAATTACGGAAGACGGTACATCAGTCATTTTTCCTGTAAAAACTAAAGGAAAATATGTTTTCATTTCGCCTCAAAAAGCTAATATTTTTACATAGTTGAATTTGTACCCTATTTTTCTTTGAAACAAGCCCCCCAGGGCAGGGTGTCGATAAAATCATCATTATCATTTTCAACAATACGGCGTTTTTTGTAATCCATTTTAAAAGTTTTTGTCGTTCGTTTTTTCGTGACAATATTTTTTGTTTTAGTATCTCTACAAATTTGATCAAATTTTAATGTAACCGAATCAGTTTTATCAAGTATAATTGCTTTTAGAGATTCACTATTTAGTTTTTCTTTATTTTCATAACTGAGCGTAAACCCTTTAATTTTAGTAACTTCACGATCTTTGTTAGTCTTAAAAAAATAGCTTTTAGGACCCGTAGACACCCACTCAATAATATATTCATTATCACCTAATTCATTAGACCAATCCCCTAACATTTCCCCTGTTTCGACTGTATTTGTTCCATCATCAATATAAACAATAGAGTCAGTATCGTAGTATACTACATTTTCGTCTAATTTTTCAAGCATTTCATAAAGTCTCAATCGAGCATGAGTGGTTGTAAAGCATGCTATGAAAATATTAGTGGACCAGTTATTTTTCACAAATATATCTTTGTATTTATATGTTACTTGAACCATATTATCTGTGAGAAAAATACAATTAGAAATTTCAATTTCCTCATTGAGAAGAATATTGTACCAACTTTTCAGATCTGCAATGTACAGCGTTTCGCTTAGAGAATTTCGTTGGGCAAATTTCCCATAAAGGGAATTCAATGCGATTTTAGCGACCGCTCGTCTTCCTGGATTATATTTTACTTTGGCCGGGTTTAAGTCTAGACCCATTTCTTTTTTAATTGCAAGTACGTAATCCCCGGTAGATGAGTAATTGTGTGGACTCGATTCCATTTTTATTTTCATGAAATCATCCACATATCCCTTAAATAAGTTATTTGACTTTTGTGGAAAATTCCAAACTTCATGAATTTTCATAATTTTATAACCTTTTTCAAGAGATTTGTTGACCTCCGGCGTGGCCCAAGTTCCCGTGAAACATCTTTCATCATCAGTATGATTACATGTATGGGTCTCATTTGTCATACATGTTCTGTATAATACAAACATGAGCTTTTCAGATCGGTATGGAATAACCGGATGATAAAGATTTGAGGGCGGCAAGATCGTTGCCTTTATTAGACCAAACCACTGAGGGTCGTAGTCAACGGGGTTGTAAATTTTGATGGGATGATTAATAGGAAATTGATTTAAATACATCACTGAAGGGTAGAGGGAAACTAGGTCTATGTAGTTTAGTTTTTTCCCACTTACTTTCAATTTGATTGCATTAGTCCTACCACCGTAAAACCCATCTCTAGGAATTAGAGGCTCAATGAAACCGAAAGGTTTTACATTTTTATACGTTTTACTCTTAACCCATTCACATTCCCATATTTCGACTAAATTATATCCACCCGCTTTTATTTCATTACTACGTAGTACAGTTTTCTCGTATAAATCATCCATTGTCTCATTATTTAGTTTATTGATAGTATCGGGATTGTAACATTTTTTACAACCGTGAAAAAAACAACCATGATACTGATACACTGTATTTGTATTTTCATCAAAGCCGTCTACTTTGGCCCCGCAAATCGTAACTTCCCCACCATTTAAAGCGTGTCTAACATTTGAAAACTGCCTAAGCCACGCGATTGATGCTTTACTGTAAGTATCTTTTTTGTCATTTTCATCAATAGCTATGGTGTCAGTAGGCATGTATTTTGACCGGTATATCGCCATACAGACTGAAGCAATAGTTAAATATTGAAGGGGATCTATATTCGCTATTTCAAGAAATTCCTTTCGAAAAGCTAGACATCCACGTCTTAATATGTCAACATCACTGGCGCAGTACGATTCCAGCTCAGCCTCAAAGTCGAAGATATAATTCTCACTTACACGTTCAGAGTGCCACTTGAGAAAAATCTCCCTTTGTTTAGGTTTCATCGTATAGTCGCCGTAATATTTAACATCTGGAATTGGTCCTACGTACTTTTGATTACTAGGTATATTGAAATAGTGGGGGAAGAAACCTTTTTTATTTTCATTGAGCCCGAAGGTAGTTGGAAAATCTGATAAGGGCCCACTAACAAAATTAGAACTGTCAATGATTTTTAGTTTTATAGAAGGTACTTCTAAAAGCATTAATTTCGACCCGTTGTAGATTGTAAACGGTTTAATTCCGTTTTCTACACAATACTTTAAAATAAAGTATGAGTCATAACTTTTACTATTGTGGGCTATCGCCGTATACCCCTGGTGCTCGTGGGAGATCAACCAGGTGACAAATGCTGTATTATCTTTAAAGGTGAATTTGTTACCGTGAAAATCTTGAGCTATCACAAGATTTGGAATATGTATTCCTGTATTTTGCATAGCTTCGTAGTCGAAAAAAATGTATTTTTCGTTGTAAGTACAGCGTGATATTTTCTTATCCGAACGGTCGTTACATATACACGGTTCTTTACATATAATAGGCTCTTTAGAACTTTCCTTGTACAAACATCCTTTATTTAACGGGGCATTGTTTGTGTTGCATTCACATATTATCTTACAAAGGCCGCCCTTACTTTCTTTCTTTTGTATAAAACATTTATGAGAAGCTGTTTCAACGTCCTTCAAACAATTATGACAAATCGAAAATCCGCATTTATGATACTTTTCTCTACTTATAATTTTTTTACACCCTGTACATTTGTAAACGGTAGAGCAAACTGTGTGATGGTTAGCTAAACATGTATCATTGTAACAAAATCTATTACATTCGTTACAGTATTTTTTATCTCTCGATGTTAAATCATGAGATGGAAGCTTACACAAAGGACAGATAATAGGAGTTTTACATTTATGTCTATTTTTTGTGTTATAACCAATATCGCAGCGATGGCAATAGTAACTTCTATTATAAAAGCCTGTTAAGCTGTTTATGACGTCATAATGATTTTTATCTTTATATAAACATAGTTTTATTGGTTGCTCAACACCCGCGTATATGACTTGATTAAAGTTTTCAGAATCAATGATTTTAATCTGAACATCTAAGAACTTTTCAACCTTTTCGAAATCCTCCAAAGAAAATCCATCGTTAGTATTAAATTCTAACGTCTCACATAGTTCTAAAGCTAATCGTCTTTGAATAGGTTTATTATCCCTAATGTTTTTTATTTGTCGTGGTGATAATTCATTACCTAATATAACATTAGAATGGTAAGTAAGGGCCGTTATTATCGATCGCAGCGCGCAAAGATTATCATGATTTTTAATTACAGTAATACTTTTTTTGCATGTCTATCTTTCGTTAAATTGAGAATTTTTCTGGTACGACCAAAACACCGGGGTATTTTAAAAAGCTGTATATCAAAAATTGTTCCATTAATATTAACGTTCTGATCTGAAGTCAAAATATTTTCAATTTGATCCAATAATTTATTAAAATTTATATTTGTACCAGTCTCAGTTGAAATAGGATGATTGAATTTTGAATTACTAGCTATTAGCCGGAGACGGTCGCCTGGTAAAAAACCCGCTCGAGTCTTTACGGTGTTTAATTTTTCTTCTAGAACCGTTCGTAAATTGTTTATATTAAGCGAATTGTTCGTGGTTTGTTTGGTAGTAAGTTGAAAAGTCGATAAATATGATTGAAATTTTTGAATGAATCGGTCTTCGCTTACACTCTTTAAATGCCACGACATACTGAAAAATAATAAAAACCACAAATTATAAAAATTAAGTAAACGCACAAAACACTTGCTCGATTCAATTTTAATCACATTATTTCTAGTCGCACGTGACAATATTCTTTAAATTTACAACGATGGTTGAGATATCTATTTTCCGAGACAAATTTGATTTTACATAACCCGCAGCGGAAATGTGAT